CGAAATGATATACCTCATGGCGACATTCATTTTTTTCTATTTTTAATTTATTTAATTTAATCTTTTTGTTTTTTAACAATTTTTTCTTCGTAATTATTTTTTTTTACAAATCTTTTATTTTTCTTTTGCGTTATTTAAATATTTTTTGAACTTAAATTTATTAATATATTCTATTTTACAAAATTTGCTTTTTTTTAGAATACCAGAGTCGCTATGGACTCTAGCATTTTCTTTATTTTTTTTAATTTATTTACTCCATTTTTATTTTACAAATTTTTTTTGTAAATTTTTTTTTGTTTCAATTTTTTGATTTTTATTCTGCGTTATTCTAATATTTTTTTTAAAACTTTAGTTTTTTTGTTTATATTTTATATTATTTAAAATTTGTTTTTTTTAGGATATAGCGAAATAATTTTTTTTAAATTTTATATATTCCATATTAATTTACAATTTTTTCTTGTAAATAATTTTTCTTTGATTTTATGATTTTTCTTCTGCGTTATTTTTAATATTTTTTTACCTTCACTTAATTTATTTATTAATTTAGATTTTATATTTTAATTTTTTTCTTTTAAATATTACGGTCGCTATAGCCTGTAGCGCATACAAGCTATAAGGACTTGGTTTTTCTTTATTTTTTAAATGGTTTTTTCTATTTATATAAATAATTTCTGTTAATAAAATTATATATTGTTTTTAAAATTATATTTTTACTATACACTAAGTTTATAATTAATTACATTTGTTCAAAAATGTTATATACGAAAATTTTAAGTAAATTTTATTTAAAAAAAATTTATTTACTTGGTGAAATTGTAGCTTATAGCGACTTTATTGGAGCCGTATTGTGTCGCTATAGGCTATAGCGACTTCGTTGGGGACGCTACCAGCTATGGCGACTTTTACAATATGACGTTCATGGCTTCTGCAAATTTAAAAAAAGGACACGTGGCACTAAAGTTTATAATTAATTACATTTGTTCAAAAATGTTATATACAAAAAATTTGTAAATTTTATTTTAAAAAAAAATTATTTACTTGGTGGAACTGTAGCTTATAGCGACTTTATTGGAGCCGTATTGTGTCGCTATAAGCTATAGCGACTTCGTTGGGGACGCTACCAGCTATAGCGACTTTTACAATATAGCATTCATAGCTTCTGCAAATTTTAAAAAAGGACACGTGGCACTAGTGTCGCTAGGGGTGGGTAGATGGACCCGGGTCCGCGGACCGCTCCGTAAGCCCGCGAATTTTGCGGATAACGGGCTCGTTTTTTTCAAATCCGTATGATTATGTCTAATTTTTGAGTCCGGCCCGTTAAGTTCGCGGATTTGGCAACGCTATGGCCCATAGCGACACTGTTGTAAACAACCCCAAAAGTATAAATAACTTAAAAACAGCCCCATTTAGGTATATAATTTCGAGAAGTGCCCCATTTAGGTCAATCAGCCTATATATATATATATATATAATTAAATATGTAATTAATTTTATATTATTTATTTAAAAACTAATTACTAAAATAAAAAGTTTTTGTGATGTAGGTGGGGACGTTATGCATTCAAATAGTAAGTGAACAGAAAAGGCTTATCCTTAAACGTTATGCTCTCCTTCTTTAAAAGCCTTCCTTCCCAATCCCTTGTTAATTCTCCATGCTTATTTTCCTCTTTCCAATTTTTTCTTCATTCATTTCTGCTTCTTTCATCTATTCTGCTCTTCTTTTCTTTTCAATTTTCTTGTGATTATTGTTTCTTAGCTGTTTTAGTGGTTTCTCTTGGTTAATAATTTTTTTTTTCCATTTCTCTTATTTATTTTATTTATTATTGGTTGTTAGATCTTTTCTTTAATATTATTTATCTATTTTGTTTCATTTCTTAACTGTTTTATTTTGTTTTATTTATTATTGGCTGTAGTAATGTGTTGTTTATTTTTTTTAATATAATTTCTCAATTTATTTTTGAGGATGGTGTAAAGCAAAACTCATAAATTGATATTTTTTATTTGTATTTCCTTTGAAGGTTAGTATCAATAAATTATTTTTAAAAAAAAATATTTGCTTCATTTTTTTTGTGAAATATTGTATATAATAATCTTATAGCTTTAAAATACTATATAACAATTTTAAAATAAATATAAATGCATTTCATTGTTATATATTTATTGAAGTTAATTTATAAATAATAATAAAGTGAAAAAGTATTTTTATTTAATTTATTTAATTAATATTTTTTAAATTACATTAGAATTAAATATATAAATTAATCATATGAAATAAAAATATTTATTTGTAGTTGATATTGTAAATGTATATTTATTAGAAAAGCTCAATTTTTTTTATGTTTATTATCTTAAAGTATTATATTAGATTCATTTAATTAATATTTCTTTTAATAAAGTGTTGTTCTTGATAAATTGTATTGATATAATATTTATTTTTAAAATTATTTTAAAAGTATTATGTATTTATTTTGTAGGTTGATGTGAATTAAATCTCCTAACTTATTTTCAAATTTGTTTTATCAGTTAAGGTAAGTTTTAATATTCAATTCTTAGAAGTTAAATTATTTTAAAATATTTTTTAAATTAAAAATTATATTTTAAAATTTTGTATATTTGGCTAATGTTTAGAAATAATAAAATATTGAAAGGTTGTTTATTTTTTTAGTATATAAAAATAGGGATTTATTTTTTTCATCTTGTTATTTTTGGAATACTTTGCAAGTTAGTTGTCAGTTAATCATATCTTAAATTTTTTTTTATTTGTATTTCCGTTGTAGTTTAAATTTTATGAATTATATATTTAGTTGTATATTTATTTCATAAATTATTATTTTGTATTTTTTTATGTGAAATGTTGTATATTTTATTAATTACTTAATTCTAAAATTAAAGAAAAGTTTATGGCTATTTTCAATTATACTCTTTGAAATTGTGCTAGTGAAAGGTTTGTTTCTTTATCCACGTGATATGCTATTATGATAAACCGAGACAACTCCTCTAATTCACTATTACATTTTAATTCTTTAGCAACATTCTTTTTATATTTATTAAAATATTACTATATATTAAATAAATAAGTTATTTTGTAATATTTTTTTAAAAAATATTATTATAATTGCTTCTAAAATTAGAGTTCCACATTGAGTAAAAAAAATATTTCTTTCATTCACATTGAATAAATGAATGACTCATAAAGAATATATATAATTAGTAATTAGTGGTGACTAATTAAGAATATCTTCAATCTTCTCTTAAAAAACTCTTAAGTGGTTTGGAGATATAAAAATATAATAATTTATAATAATATCTAAATTAAAATTAATTCTTTTATAAAGTTAACTAAAACTTAACATCATTAAAATGTTACAAAAGTACCACTTTGATAACATTTAAAAAATGTTACCTAATTGTGTAAAAAATTATTAAAAATCTTTAATAACATGAATTGTATACAATATTTAATAATATGTTGTAAAACTAAATTAGTAATATTTATACACAATTAAAAAATATTTTTCAAATGTTTCTAAAAAAGAATTTGTGTTATAGTGATTGTAACGTGTAAGATAAAATGACATTGATAGACATTATTAATAAAAACCCTTTCTAAGTCCTTTCAATGGATCTATAAATAGATATAATAAAGCTTGCCTCTTGAGAACATAAAAGAAGAAAAGGTAGTATAGTTTTGTTGAAGATAGATTTGCTGGGATTCACTGCAAGTTTTGTGGATGCTTGCTTTGGACCCAAGCTCATTGATGAATGAGGGTGATTTAGATAGAAGCGCAGCAATAGGAATAGCGTGTTGTCATAAATGTGAGTGTGACGTGTCAACATTGCCTTCTATTTCTATGTGCCAAATTATCACGTAATCTGTCATTTTTTTTTCAAGCTAATTCTTAATTAAAAGTTGAAAAACAAGTAAAATGAGATTTAACACAAAACAAGATTATCCTGCCACTTTGCAAATCATGCATGTTTTGTACACTTATGAGCATTAATTTTTCTGATCTATGGGTTGCAGAAACCAGCATGATAAGAGATCAGAAATTAATCACTACAGATAGCCAATATATCTGATCTTGACACCTTACCTCTAGCTTATAAATTCATCAAAGAAGGTATTCAATTTTGAGCAAATTTCCACACAAACCCTCCATCATTCACATTAATGAGACATGTCTTTGCCACAAACATGTAAAAAAAGAACCTACTCCCACAACAGTCAATAAAAATATAACATTTTGTTTGTTGATTTGACTTAGTAAGCACCTCAAGACTCCCCCTTCCAAATGCACCTATCCTGTCCACCCATCTTGAGATTTGTTCTACTCATCACCAATTTTTTGAATGCTCTATTTGAGACCTATCGTAGATATATATGATATCCCTTTAAAAGGGTTACCAATATTTATGTATGTACTTAAGTCCAACAATACTTAGCGTGATGAAGTATTAGTTAATAGGACTATTTACTATTTATCTATCTATTAAGTCGAATAATATTAGTATATTAAAAAAATACTAAAACCTCATATCAATTAAAAATAAAATTAACAAATATGTATAAATAAGTGGTAGTCTTACCATATAAATTAATTTTGTAATATTAATTAAATTTCATAAATTACTTGTACATACATACAATATGACGATATTTCTTTTTCTCTCTTTATGTCACACTGGGTATTTTTATTTTTATTTTATTTTTTAAAAATATAGAGACACTATGAAGTAACAGGTATATAAAATAACATTACTTTAAACATCACGGGTAGTAGTAGTACTACCACCCTGCTAGCTTCGAACTTCGAACGTCACGGGTACCTCTGCAATGGATGGAAATGAAGGTCATCAACTCCCAAGAAACGATGCAAGATTCTTCCAGGTATATATGCTTTTAACTTTTATCATACCAAGAACAGTAATAAAAAGAAAAATTCAAGGGAAAGAAAAATTTATTGCACTCTATCCATTCTATAAATAGATCTACGTAATGCTTACCCCTTCACGACATAAGAGAAAGAGAAAAGATATAGAAAAAGAAAGTGAGTGAGATGGAGTTGAAGAAGGTGGTGTTGGTGAAGGCAGCTTTGCTGCTTTTCTTCATTTGCTTCACTGCAAGTGTGGATGCACGCTTCGATCCAGGATCTTTTATCACTCAGGTGTTCTCCAACGGTGATGCCATTTACAATGTGAAATCCACAACCACTGCATGTTGTGATAAATGTTTCTGCACAAAATCAAACCCTCCCCAGTGCCAATGTAACGATGTTGGAGAAACCTGCCACACAGCTTGCAAATTATGCGTTTGTGCACTGTCATATCCTCCTCAGTGTCGTTGCATGGATAACACCAGCTTCTGCTATGACAAGTGTGACACCTCCAAACCCAAAGCTCACTAGGAATGAGCAAGTTTCAATAACCATGTTCTGAGACAAAGCCACTTAGGCTTTGTTTTCGTGTATGCATGCATGAGAATAAATTACTATGTTAATGAAAATAGTACTTAATCGACCAAGCATTTGCTTTTCGGCAAATCGCTGGTCATGGTCTTTGTTTTAATTATGTTGCTCTCATTCATGTTCCCTCTCTCATTGTCATCCTATAGTCATCATCCCTACTAGTAAGCGTTTCTCCCATCGTTGCTCTTGTTAGTCCTCTTGGTTTTTGTAGATTTGTTTGGTTTGAATTAATTGGTTGTTTAGGGTTTGAGTTTTGGTTTTGGTCTGATTTTTGACTTTTGTTATATATGCATGTTAAGTGTTTAATATTTTATCACAATGAATAACATAGTGTCGCTCTAGGAAAAAATCATAAGGGAGTAGAAGAAGAAGGAAAAGAAAGGAATAATAGAGTTCTCAGAGAAGATGTAAAATTTTTAAAATTGGTTATAAAACAATCAGTTAATAAAAGTTTAGACTTACAAAATTGGTCAAACAAGCAATTGTAAAAGTCTAAAATAAGATATATAAAATCGGACATACACACACTTTAAAATTTATTGTGTATATATATGATTCTTTGAGAAATTAATTAGTTTATAAATCACAATTTAAAATAGAAAATGCAATAATATATAAAGTGATAAGCATATATGTAATTTATCTCATAATTTTTATTCACAATTATTATTTTAAATAAATTATTATTAAATATTTTAAATTAAAGTACTTGTTTATCAAATCTTTATATTTTAGTTGTTCTTATTAATTCATTAAATATAATTTGAAGCAAACAATTAAAAAAAATTGTTTTTTCTTTTAATAGGTGGAAACATTACAAAATCGACAATAAAACTGAAATTTAAATTATAATTTTATATATATTGTTCCAACTTCACCTTCATGTTGACATTATTGTTTATTAAAAAAGTGTTTCTCAATAACAAAAGGTAATTAGTTAAATAAATAAATAAAATTGAGGAAAAAAAATAAAACTAAAACCCTGCATGCATTCCATTTATTCTATAACTGTATATACGTATACATGCTTGCCTGTTAGTAATTTAGAGTTTATGTAGTTTAAGATTGCTTAATAATTTTTTTATCAAATAAAAAAAATATTGTATTGGGTGCAAGAAAGAGAAAATGAGGGAAAAAGGTAATTGGACTTTTTAAATTTTTTTAAGATTGCAGATTGTGCTGACGTGCGTTTGGCTCGCGCCGAATCAGAAAAGGTAATCGGTCACTTAGGCTTTGTTTTGTTTTAATTTATCTTTCTCATTTTAAATAATTAACTTCACAATATACCAAGCTCCTTTAATATATCATCATTCATTCCATTTCAAAGTTTGGAAATGAATAATAATCCCCCAATTCAATTTTAACATGAGAATGTAAATTGGATTCGTCTCGTCTATTCATGATTTTTAAACATTAGTTTATAATTTTTTTATATATGATAAATTAAATGATTTTAATAGTTAAGATCTCATCAAGTGAATATGTCTCTATAGAGAAGAACTTAGTTCCTTTAGCACGTTGAAGTAAACTATCTAATTGCACCCCAATTTTTTATAACTAAATAATATTTTTAAGGTTAAAATAATATGTAGGTTCTCTAATTTTGTCAAATTTTTAACTAGGTTCCTATAGTTAAAAATATTCTAAAAGAATTCTTATAGTTAAAAAATTTCTTAATATAACCTTTCAGTCACTAGTACCTTACAATTCCGTTAGTTTATGTTGATACAGTGATATGACAATTTTGATATGATAATTATTAATTAATTACCCTATTATTTACTGTGTGTATAAATGAATCTACTTTTCATTATCAACAATTTTGACATAATATTTTTTTATTATATAAACTTCATGTAGATCTTAATTATTTCTTTTAAAAATTTGTTGTCAATAAACAAACTATATTCGACATGTAAATGAAGTCCGTGCGATGCACAAATCAATATGTTCACTAGTAAAGATAAATATAATCGTTGACACGTTTCTTTATCTTTATTATATAGTGTGAAAATTATAAAAGTATATGACGTTTCGATGGGCCTAAGCCTTAATTCCATATTAATTGGACTAGCCCAATACTGCTACATCAGCGAGGCCCAAAATAAAGAGCCATCAATCTTTCTGACATTATAGCCGTTGTAGTTTTAGGACACCTGTATTGTGGTCCCTTTACAACCGTTGACATTTAATTTCTTCTTTAAAATGAGCTTTGCTCTGAATAATGATATGAAGAATTTCCACTTTAGTAATCTTTTTTATTGTAAGAGAAATTTTACACATACACTCTCAAACACATTTTTTTTATTTGAAAATTTATTAAAAAAATAAAAGTTGGTGGATTACACACTTTATTTTACAATTTTTTTTCACCTAATTTTATAATTTTCAATAAATTTTATTCAATAAAAAAGAGTATATTAAAAAGATAATGTTGTTACTTACTAGCATTTCTCTTATTATAATTATTAGTTAGCATAATTACATAAATAGGTTGACACTTGAAAATGCCTATCACTTATATATGTTATATGTAAGAACCTTTATTATTGTGTAATTTGATCTTTTATTAACTACTCTTCCCAAGTTCACACTACTGTATTGGATCCACTTTCTTCACCTAGAATTACTCCATTTAATAATTTATTATTAATATTAATATTACATTTAATAAGTGTAGGTGGATCTTAATCTGTAGTAGGTGTGGGAGGGGAAAAGTATTTTCCATGTGCTTAATAAATGACAAGATAGGGCATTGAATAGCAAGGCAATGGCACCATGACTCTTCAAACTTGGAAGATCATATCTGAATGTACGATGAGAACAAGTACGTGTCTTAAAAATTATAATAAAACTAGACCTTATCTCTTCTTGCATATCCATGTATATATATAAATAAACCTATTCAATGCTTATGTCTCCATTGTGGTGGTAGAAGTCATAAAATCAACCAGAGTTTGTTCAAGAGATGGAGTTAAAGGCAATGGTGAAGGTAGGTCTGCTTCTTTTCCTGTTGGGGTTCACCGCAACTACGGTGGAGGCGCGGTTCGATCCAAGTTCCTTCATGACTCAGCTTCTCTGGAACGGTGATGATGGCGTGAAAACGGCAACGACAGCATGCTGCGATGCATGCTCTTGCACAAAATCAATCCCTCCCCAGTGTCGTTGTGAAGATGTTGGCGAAACATGTCACTCTGCATGCAAGACATGTTTCTGCACACGCTCCATTCCTCCGCAGTGTCGTTGCGCTGACATAACCGACTTTTGTTATGAACCTTGTACTAACTACGTTCACAACGAGGTTCACTAGAATAATCACCAACTTCCAACAATTACTTATAACGTACGTGCCAGACAAAGTTTCTTAGCCTTTGTTTTCATGTATCGTGTATTTGAATAAATAAATTACTTCTGAATCAATAAAAGCTTCTAGCCCATGCACCAACTTTTCTGTTTAATTTTCATATATATAATCAGAGATTTGATTTCCAAGTTTGGAAATGTATTAGACAAAAAGAGTTATGGATTAAGTTTTATATTGTTATGTCATAATCAATTTTTTTAATTTTAAAATAATTATCTTAAAGGTCTTAATTATCAACAACTATAACGTATAAATTTTATTTTAATTTTGTGTTGACGTCTGACAGTGCATGGACAATAAATTCCGTTTAAATTTAACATATGACTGTAAATAGAATTCATCTCGTCCATCCAAATTAAATTTCTAAATATTAGTTTATATTTTTTATAAAATAAATTAAATAATTTTGACAGCTAAGATCTCAACACAAGTCTATTCATGTATATCTAAAAGAGTATCAGTTGAAATTAAGAAGTTGGACTTTTCGTATTTTAAGAAATTGATATTTTACTCTTGACCGAGATACATGGACACAAGAAAAAAGTTAGTTTTTAATGAAAATTAATAGTTTGTTGACTAATTTTATGTAAAGCAATATTTTTTTGTTTAATTATCTTTTGATTTTTATAAATTCACAAGCTTATATCCTAAATCACATAGTACCAGAGATGTAAATTTTTAACAATTAAGTATTTGTGTTATTAATTCACGTACTGTCTTATTTAGAAATCAATCCCCAAGTATGACTTCTAAAAATGTGAGTCGAACCTAACAAGTTAAGTGACATTTTTCTCATTATCAATTGAAGTAATCATGGTTGACCCGTCGTGCTTTTCCTTTAGCTTGCTGAAGTAGACTATTGAATTCCACATCATTTATATTACTAGATAATATTTTTAATTATAAAATATACCTAACCCCCACTTAATCCCCCACTACAACAAAATTTATTTTTACCGATAATTATTTAACGACAATAAATTAATTATTTTTATTTTATTATTTAATAAAAATATTAATGATTAATATATAATGATCGCTAAAAATGTATTTATATCACACCAAAATTTACTATTAATGACAATTATTTATTAAGAAAAATTTTAGTCTCACATCAACTAGAAATAAGATAATTAAAAAGTATATAAATGGATAATAATTCTCACCTTACAAGTTTATTATATAGGATTGAGTTAAACCTATAACTTACTATTCTAAGTTGGTATGAGATTACTGCTATTATCAAACTCAATAGTCCTTAAACTTGAGAGGACTGACTATTGAAAAGATAATTAAAAAAAATACATACATATATATATATATATATATATATGTATATATATATATATATAAAAGTAGAAGACAACTTTCATCTTACAAGTCTCATATTAACTAGAAATAAGGTAATTAAAAAAATTAAAAGAAATTAAAAAGAATATATAAGTAGAAGACAACTTTCATCTTACAAGTCCCACATCAATTAGAGATCAAGTAATTAAAGAGTATTTATACTTATCTTATAAGTCTCACATCGACTAGAAAGTAAAAAATGTCAGTAAAAGATTTTGTAACAATTTTTATTGCCACTAAAAGTCTATTTTGTTGTAGTGCCCAATCACGATGAAGTTATCTTGCAGGTGCCACGTCAATTATTCTTCTTCCTCCTTTTATTTTTACCGGAAGCCACATGAATCCATGTGAAGCATATTTTATTATATAGTTGGGTCCTGCACAATTGATGAACATTAGCAGCAAGAAAAATACATAACATTAGATTCACGTATAAGTTATAACACTCTAGGGATTTCCTCGCAGCATATACTTCACATGATGATGAAGACGATGTACTCGCACTGAAAAATAGGGATGAAAAAATGGTTGACTTTGTTTCATCAGAATCTATGATTTAGCCTATCTAAATTAAGTTAAGGGCAGTATATTTAAGTAAGAGGATTATATATTAGGTCATTCTATCTTTTGCAAGTGTGGAGAAATATTTTTTTTTAAGAATGTTAAATAGAGAAATATTATATCTTATATTTATTTTTTTAACATTTTTTATTATTAGCTATGAATATTAGAAGGTGCCATGTTCTTTTTTTTTTTTTTTTTCCGGTATAGTTTGCATTTATTGGTAATCCAGTCCACTTGAGGAATTGGAGTATCATATAGGTTGGGTTGCTCCACTCTTCCTACGCACAAAATTTGAGTGTTGGATCCATTTATTAAGGCCTTTCGCCCCATCACATATCCCCCTCTACATCCAACAATACAATTACAACAATATATAGTGAATATAAAAAACATTACTCTCTTCCATCCATTTTATTTCACAATTAATGTTTTGAAATGGGATTTAAGAAATATAACTAATACGTTTGATTTTATAAATAAATTATATAACTTACTAATATATTCTTAAACCTTTTGGATTCTCACACCAATAATGAAAAAATGTGTTAATAATGATTAAGGATATAATAAGAAAATATATTTAATATTACAATGATATTGTAAAATTATAATCAAATTGAAACAAGTAAGAAATACTAAAATGTCAAACAATAAGATTTAATTGAGTGTCCAATATGACCCTTTTTGACATGTAAAATACTATTCTACAAAAACAATTTATTAACAATTACATTACAGAATAATATGAACTACTAACATCGGTCGAGTAGCAGCCAAAAATTAAAATAGTTGTATAAAGAATTAATTCATCACTATTGTAATCTTTCTTATCAATAAAAAAAATTATACAAAGAAATTTGTTTAAGAAAAAATTAATTAGAACACATAGATAAAATAAATTTATTATATCATTCCATTAAAAGTTATCATATAATTGAAATCGATTACTTTTTGTAATTATTCTTTAAAATTAATATATATTTATATAAGGTAATTTAAATTACTTAATAATAATAATTAAAAGTTTTAATTCAAATAATTCAACATTTATCTTTTTTAACTAAGATTTAGGACTTAATCTCTAAATTGAGACTCCAATCGTAATTGAAAATACAACTTTATTTTTATAAGAGTTTATTCAGTGGAATGAATTATGCTCCTTTATATATAAAAACATTACTTAATAGTATAAAAAGAAAAATTATTAATAATATATCAAAGTTAAACTCTAACCATCACCTAAATTAAATTGTATGTGATTGTTTTAATTTTTTTTATTTTAAGTTTGCAATTATGTATGTTAAATATTTAAGAGAAAAATTCTATTACTTTTAATAATTTTATTTAACTCGAGTATACTTATTTTTTAGTGGAAGGCAATTATGTGATCTTGTACTAAAAAAATACCGACCCATTTGTCGGTTACAGCAAAAGAATAATTAACAAAGAAAATTTGGTTGGCGTTTCTGATGATACCAATAGCAATAGTTATATATGTTCATAATTATATATCATTAGGCCAATGAGTAAGAATTCATGTTAGAATCACAATTCTCATAATGTTATATATTAATATTAATAATAGAAACACCTTTTGCCATGATTTTAAGTGTGGAGTAATTATTTTGGTGTGTGGTGTCTGTGACAGAAGTGGGCATTGTTTGTGGAAGAGGGGAAAAGTTCTGTGAATGAAAAGATTCTTATTCAATGTGTGTTGCTTGCTGGTTCAATGACCAATCCAGTGCAGTCATATCACACGCACATGCTCTTGTTTTCTTTTCAAGTTTTTATTTAATCATGTTCAAATCGTGCATGCTACAAGACATGGATCTTAATTTTTATATATACAGTCATTCACCAAATGCTGGTTTGAAAATGAAAATTATATAACTAAATATTCTTACTTATTATCAATCAAATATAGACGACAATTTGCATGAAAAAGATCATGCAAATTTTTATGAACAATGTAGTCTACCTGCATGACTAATACAAGGAGCAGAATCTAACTACCTAAATTAGGAATTGGTTTTACTACATAATTATATAAGTATAGTTTTCTTTATAAAAAATATGACACTGTTATTTGTTTCTATATATAAATATGGATTGTATTTAAAAAGGTCATAATCCAGATCCAGTACTTTCATTTGTACCTAACAATAGTGACAAAAGGATGAAAATAATTTGTTTAGTTTTTATAATATATATATATATATATATATATATATATATAGCCAATGTTTCTGATTATAATTCCTTCCTACTCATTTCAGAATTTTTCATAATAAACTTTATGCATATTTGCTCATCCAATAAATCATTGCATGACACTAGGTTTAGAGAGATATGTATACTTAGACTATAATATAGGTATTTTTTTAGTTGAAAGTTAATTAGGAACTAATTTTTAAGATACTGAAATTTATTTAAAAGTTGACAATTTTTTAACAAATATTTTTTATATACATCAATTAATAATCGAATCATTTTATTTGAAAAAAATAGTTCATTTAACATAATATCAATTCGTGAAGTAATTGGTTGGGTTAAACTCAACTCTAGATTTTTTTTAAAAAAAATTGTTAAAATAAATATTTTAGTCCATTGACTTAACTACCATCAAAGTAAATTACATTTTTTTTCTCTTACATTTTTTTTGGAACAAACAAACTTATATTATTTCCGTTAAATGAAATTAACAATACAATCAGATACTGTCCGGAAAAAAATAAAATGGGACCAACAAAACATATAAATGTCTTAATTAGGTTATGGACAATTAAGTTGGTTTGTATCCTAACAAATCTAACATGGTTGTTAAGTAGGGAATTGACGAGGTGTCTGCACTGCTCAAGTATGGATACCAAGTATAGGAAAGACTATAAATGACATTAATTTGGGAAATAATTTATGACAAAAGTACATTCTAAAAACAAAATAATTTAGTAAAATATATATATTTGTCTGTAAAAAAATGTACAAATATATTAAAAAAAGTTTTATAATTAATAAAAAAAATCTATAATAGA